AACACACACAGCCAAACATCTAAACCGACCCCTTGGAGCCTCAGCGGCTTACAGTGGGGTAGCTGTTTCTTCCTTATGCTTTGCCATCCTAACAAGAACTTGCTTTTTATTTTTTGGGCCATATGAATTTTGACTACACCATAAGTTCCTGAAGACAGCAACTTTGTTGTGTTCACCATTCAGCATCCAAAACAGTGCTTGTTACCTAGTAAACACTCCAATAATCATCGAATGACTAATGGAATGGGCAGAGAGTTCTGGAGAGTGACGTGAAATGGTCATTCTTTTACTATTTACCTTTCAACCTGGAAACCACCACGAGTGGAAGGTGGAACTGGTAAAGCTCATTTTCTGAAGGAAGTGTCTGGGATCAGTGAGGATTTTGAAGGAGCCATCACGTGGAGAGCCCTTAGTCACAGGATGACAGTATACAAAATAAATAGGAAGCCACTGGTTAAAAGTAACCAAGGCGGGAAATCCTAGGTAAAAATGGACTCCCGAAGAAGTGCAAAACCAGTGTACTATGAGCTCTGCTTTGTCTCTGTACCTCTGTGTCCCCATTCTTGTACACAGCACACAGCCTTATGATTATGTGCTATTTTGTGGATGGTTCTTTGAGGGTTGGAACTAGGTTGCAGTCATTGGGCCTAGTTCAGGGCCTGGCCCACAGGGCCTGGCACTCAAAGAATGGTTGTTCAATTGAAACCTAGTTGCAGGCCTGCAGGGGGCTGTTGAAGGATAGGGCAGGTGGGACCCTGTGGGTGCATCTGCCCTTGCTGTAGGATACAGGCCCAATCTAGAAGGAATCGTAGAGGCCGTCTATCCCAATCCCAGGCCACAAGGATAAGTGAGCAGCCCAAGTCTCACAGACATCAAGTGATAGGGTAGACCTTGGACTGAGCTTGTCCTTGTTTTTATTTTTTTAATTACCTTTAAAAATATTTAATAAAGTGAAACAATGACAGTGAGACAGAGTAGAGCCTGGAAATAAACCCATGCATAGATGGTCAATTAATTTATAACAAAGGAGCCAAGACTACACCATGGGGAAAGGATGGTCTCTTCAATAAATGATGTTGGGAAAATGGGATTCCATGTGCAAAAGCATGAAACTGTACCCCAATCTTCTACCATACACAGAAATCAACTTAAATTTTTTTTAGCTATCTGACCCCCTAAAGGAACATATTAACATATATGTAAGATTTAGCTTTGTGATATTATGAAGACCCTCGAACCCACCATTTTACACAAGATCTACATGAATATCAACGTTCGTTTTCCCCTAGTGCCTTTTCCCCTTAAAATTACTTTTTTCCCCTCTTCTATTTATCATTCCCTTGTCTTGGCTAATAAGAAAAAAAAGCCTTGCTGTATTAGCTTAAAATACACACACGTGTACGCACACACGTGTGTTTTTCCTAAATTCTAGTTCAGTGTTTCCTGTTTCTTAGCTTTGTAACAGCGGCAGCACCCTGGGTAGAGCCCTGGCCGGGTACTTGCTTCCTCACTCCCACCATCGTTCTGTTTCTGGGGTCACTCATGTTGCATGGAGCTTAGGTCACCCATGTTTTCCTCATTTGCTGTGCCATTTCCTGTTCAGACCCCTCGGGATTTGGGACGACTCCCACGCATAGGGTTCCAGTTAACTCTAATTTTAACTTTTTACAAGCTGTCATTAAGTTTTCCCATGTTGCTTGGCTTATGGGAAGCTTTTAGTCATTTACTAATTTAATGAAAATGAGATATCCTTAGCCTTAGAAATTTGTAGTGAAATATGTCTAAGATGAATTGGGATTAATGCAAAATGTGAGCTAAGCCATTTTTACAGCAGTATTTTAGTACTTGCAGCTAGATACAGAGGACCATCGGGAAGGAAGCCTTCATGCTGCCCACACCCTTGTGGGGTGAGGCTGAGATCAGCATATTGAGCTTGGGGGTGTGGACAGGCTCCGTGGAAGGGTTAGAGCAGTGCCTTGTTGACCTCCTGTCAAGTTATGGCACTGCTTTTCCTAGATAATACAGTGCTAGGATTCTAGTCGATCCCTTCTAGATCCCAGCATGTTCTGGATTAAAGCTTCACTGTAGCTAGGCTTTCTTATGCCTGTATATTTTTTTGTAGTTCTCAGGAAGATTGTTAATATCCAAGTTGAGAATATTTCCAAAGACTAGAAGTTTTTAGGGGTTGTGAGTGGTCTGTGAATTAGAATTATATGTGCAATTATTTGGGGCCTTAGCTTTGATTAGAGCCTGGGAGTCTTAATCCCCAGAACTCATTGTTTTAAACTAGGGTTTCTCAAACTTGACTCTACTGACATTTTGGGCCAGGTTGTTGAGATCTGTCCTGTGCATTGTAGGATGTTCAGAAGCATCCCTGGTCCCTACTCATTAGATGCCAGTAGCTTCCCCTGTCCCAAAATGGTCTTCAAACATTGCCAAATGTCTTGTGGGGCTTTGTGGCAGGGGCAGAATCAGCTCCAGTGGAGAAACGCTAGTTCATACCTTCTAAAAAAGTTTTAGGTTCATAGCAAAATTGAGCAGAAGGTACAGAGGCTGCCCCTGTAACTCCTATCCTCACACATGCATATAGCCTCCCCCACTATCAGCATCCCCCACCAGAGTTACAATTGATGAACCTACACTGACCCATCATCGTAATAACTTAAAATACGTATTTTCCACTAAGGTTCACTCTTAGTATTGTACAGCCTGTGGGTTTGGATAAATTAATAATGACACATAACCACCATTTATAGTATCATACAGAGTATTTTCACTGCCCTGAAAATCCTCTGTGCTCTGCCTATGTATCCTTCCCTCTCCTCCAACCCTTGGCAACTACTGATCTTTTTACTATCTTTATAGTTTTGTCTGTTCCAGAATGTCATATAGTTGGAATCTGACAGTATGTAGTCTTTTCAGGTTAATATATTAGTATATTAATATTCTAATAATAGTTTACATTTTAAGGTTCCTCCATGTCTTTTCATGGCTCAGTAGCTCATTTTTCTTATTTTTAAGTTTTATTTTCAGTTACAGTTTTCGTTCAATATTATTTTGTATTAGTTTCAGGTGTACAGCATAGCCATTAGACAATCGTATACTTTACGAAGTGTATGATTTTGGAGTTTGAACACCTGGCTCCAATTTAGAGCAACAGGAAGAGAAGACTTCAGGGTTGGGTTGAAAGGGACGAATGTTATAAAATATTTATATTTAAAAATATTTAAAACATGTATTTGCATACATGTAGAAAATACTCCCAATTAAATACATACCTCTATGAATTAAACAGTTTACAGGTATTAACTAAATGCAATACGCTATGAAGTAGATACTCTCCATTTTCAGTAGAGGCTTGTAGAGGCTAACAACTCTGCCCAAGACCATAAGTTAATGAATGGCAGAACTGAGAAAGGAGTATGTCTCTCTAGTGTCAAATCAGCTGATCTGTGTTCTGGACCTTAGAAGCGGTGTTAAAATGTCTTCCTGTGCCAGTGGGCCAGACCCATGTCACTGTGGCCTTGGCTGGCATAGAAAGCATGGCACAAGTAGGGAATTCATGGTTGCTACAGTGTTTCACTAAGCTAAACAAGTGCTACAAAGTTTCTGGTATGTGTGTGTGTTTCTTTGCAGGTAGCCAGTTGGTTGTGTGTCCTAGAAAAAATTGTCACAATCATCTTAAGCAGGAGACAAGTATTTTTTTTTCTTTTTAAAAAACAGCCTGCTGTATATGCCATATTAGTTATGAGATTGCTTCCAGTTAATGTGTTATGTCTTTGATGAATATAAAGTGGATCCTTGTCTCTGAGCATGTTTAAGTTAATATATTGGGATTGTAGATTGCCATAGTCAAAGGTCATATTCATTACAGCCAGATGTTGCATTTCCAGGTTTACTTTGTGTATTTTATGATTCTTTAGCTTCTTTACTTAGGGCTTTTAAAAATCCTGAGATTGGTCTGGCCAGAATGGAATCGGGATGCAGATCAGATGGTGCTCCTGACTGGTTGTTTTGGGGCCTCTACCTGCCTTTTGTGCACTTCTTAGAGTCCTCACCATTTTACCTGGCCTGCCTTTCCCACCTTACTTCTTGTTGGTCCTCCTGAGGTCTGGCCGTCTCTGTTAGAGCCCACTTTGCGCTGAATTCATTTTGCACTTGAACAGTCTTGCCCCCACTTAGTTCCTTCCTTCACCCTCCATCATTCATTACATATTTATGGTGCCTGGAACCGGGTGGTCTCAGTAAACATTTGCGTCATGAAATTAAATGAGGAGGATGTTGTGAGGCACACAGGGCTGGAAGAAGGCTCCCTGTAAAACAAGATCTTTACCCTCCCAGGCCCCTGCTGCAGCAGTGATGCCAGCGTATTGCCTCGTGGTCCACTTGGCCAGCTAAAGTGAGCTCTTGTCTGTAAGTGGTTCGGTTCAGGTCCTCGTCTATTTTGCAAGGGCCTGGCACCATGGAAAATGTACCCAGCTGTAGTGGAATAACTGGAGCACTTAACCTTTGCGCACATTTTGTCACTTGTTCTTTGCCTGGCTTTTTCCCTGGCTTGGAGCTCACCAAGGAACCTGGCCTGGTGATGCTATCTGATGTTACCTGTTTAAATCCAGGTTATAGCAGAGGACAAAGCTTAATCTGCTATTCAAGCATGCTCACTACAGAACCAATTGGGAGTTAATACATCTGCATCTCCCATGGTCTGCTGAGTTGGAGAAGGGAAGCCCATAGGCTTTGAGATGTGGATAGAACAGGGTCACTTTCTGAACTATATGGCCTGCTTCCTACTTCTCTGATTATCTTTTGGATGATTATCTTTTATCTGTCTTTGAGACAGATGCTGCTATCAAAGAGACCAGCAGCCACCCTCCAGGAGATGGGGTGGAGGACCTACTGCAGGCCTTCTTGGTCTTAGAATACCCTGGGAAAGCTGAAACTGCAAAAATGCTTGTTAAAAGAGGTTTTTTGGTGTTTCTATGGGCAAAATGACTTAGACACTTTTATTTCTCTTTTCACAGAGTGATCAGCAGCTGGACTGTGCCTTGGACTTAATGAGGCGCCTGCCTCCACAACAAATCGAGAAAAACCTCAGCGACCTGATCGACCTGGTACGTACCTTGTTCATGTGCTTTCATTTGGGGCTGTGGCTCATACTTGGTCACTTTCGTGTACCCTTTTCCATGCATAATTCAAAACACACAGGAAATCTCTCTCCAGCCAGACACCACCACTGGGCTATGAGATTCCTCCAGACAGAGAGAGGATGAGTTTCATATGGTTGTCTTAATTTCAGCACCACCTGTGTTAATAGAGCCTGACACAGGAGTTCTAAAGTTGATTACATCTTTCTCCTCCCCCCACTGGCTTGTTTTCAGTTTCTAGAAGCTCACCTGTAGGCACGAAGGGACAGCCACACATCCAGCAGGTGGTTAGCAGTGGGTGGTGCCAGGCTTTCGTAGTCTCTCTGCCACTGTGGAAGTTTCTCCCTCGAAAGCAGTATGAAAACCGACCCTATGAAATGCTTCAGTGGCTTCATTTCTAGTTTGAAACACAAAAGTCGGCTTTTGGAGCTGATCACATTAAAAAATATATATTATTTTTTTTAAGATTCAAAATCATTGGTCTCAAAACAATGCCTCAGATTAACTGGCACCATATTATTATTTGAAAATGCCAAAAGTATTCGAAAATATCTATAAAGCTATGGGAAATATTGAGAAAAGAGGTAAAATAAAATAAAATCAGGCCTCCAGAGGCCAACTTAGTTACTGCATCACTTGGCCAGTGAGCTCTGGTTCTGGAACCTGGGCCCTCTCAGTCCAGGTCCTCTGTCCGTTTCCTGTGTCCCATGTCTTCTTGGATATAATTATTCGTTGACAACGCTGGTTCATCGGTGAGGTTTCTTTTTAAATGGTGGTTTGAAAACTTGTTCATGTACTGTAGTGACATACTTGATATTGTATGAATTCCAGAACAGTTTTACTAGGAAAGAAAACATGACTGCAGGACACCCATGTCATTTACAGATCAAACTCTTCATAGCAGTCTGGAGGGTCCAGAGTGCAGCTATTTTATGTTTATAGGGATACAAATTCTTAGTTGAGAGGCAGTTATGACACAGAGTGGAGCCCTTTGAAGGAGCTTTGAACTTGCTATCCTTTACGTGTAATAATGGAGGAAGTGGGAGGAAAGAGGTTTCTGGAGGTAAATGGCCTGGCCAAGAGCGCCAGCTACAGGTGCTTGTGCTGGAAGTGAAGAGGAGAATGGAAAATGTGATGGTTCCTGGCTAGACAAATGCATACTTTAGATGCGTATTAAAGAAAGAAGGTTGAATTATGATGCTCAGAATCCAGGATCATAAACCAAGAGCCAAGGAGGTGACATACATCACTGAAGTGGACATGGTGTAAACAAGGGCTCTGGCTGACAGGCTAATCTGAGAGGGCAGTGGCCCCTCTGCTCCAGTCATTCAGTGCCCTCTGGGAATATGGTATCTGTTGCTTGTTTTCACATTTTTCTGGAGGAGCTGTACATTTGGAGTTGGATGTGAAATACCCTGATTTTTAAACATTGGATTGGTTAGATCTGATTTTGTGTCAAATTTGGGTATGTCCCTGGGAAATGTGAGTTGTGGGGATGGGGTCAGTGAAAACAGTCTTTGTTGGGAAATAATGAGATATAAAGTTGGATAGGTAGGAAGTGTCCCTGAAAGTCAGAAGAAGGGCTTGAATTTGATGTGCTAATTGCTACCATCAACCCCCTTACTAAGCTTTGTAGCAACACTTGTGCTAAGCAGTTTACGTGTGTGTGTGTGTGTGTGTGTGTGTGTGTATGTGTGTATTTAACCCTCAACAGCCCTGTAAGGCAGCATTACAAGGTGTAGTCTGGAAGTGCTGCATGTCTGCGTTTTTCTCGGCCGGAGGGTTTTGATGGGTCATGTGTAGACGAGGTGGGCGAAGGTCGAAGGTACGATCAGATCCCTAATTCGGTCAGCTGCAGAGGCTTTTTCTTTTAAACTCTGCATGAAAACGTGGTTGGCTGAGTTTCAGTTTAGTTTGCCAATGTAGTTATTACTGTGTTTTATGAATAAACCCAACATAGAATGAATGACGAGCAAATTGTTCTCAGTAGACCCTGTTGGTGTTTCAACAGGTTATTTTGTCCTTACGGAAACTGAAGAGTTGTACGACAGCTGTGTGCTTTCTCTGGATTCCCTCGCCATCCTTTGTTTCAGAGATGTGTGCTGCTTTTATGGAAACCTGGTTGGCTTGTTCTTTTGCTGCTTATGCCCAGTATACTTGGGCTCAGCAGGGAAACTGCAGCAGTGATGGTGAATGAAGGAACCCAGTATTGGGTGGGAGAGATCATCTCTGAGGTTGAGCTTGCAGGAGGTTGCTCAGACCCAGGTTGAAGTGTCATAGTATGTCTGTCCCCGATAAGTGATGTCGTATGTGGTACCCCATAGATTACTGTGAGTGTGCACTGCTTTTCCACATTTAGCTTCATCTTCTGTAGAATGTGGCTAGAAAGGAGGTGGAGGCAGGTGTAGATTGAGGGACTGAGCTGGGTGCTTACTCCCTCGACTTTCCATAATGTATATATAACCACTTCACTTTTTTTAGGTGATTGACACTTGGAGGAAGAAGCCAGGGTGCTGGTGTGGCTAAGCAGCACCAGGAATCCCAATTTCTTCTGCTGGGGTAACTGCTGGGTACCTTTGGGTCCGATCACTTACACTCAGCAACAGGTTAAATATGGTGCGTCTTCCTGATGATGTGTCAGTCTTACCTGTTTGGGGAAAAAATGTTAAATATATTTAACTCATTAGTATTATAAAATATTAAAATAGATGTATTATGGAGAATAATTTAAAATTCACATAATTAAAATAAAAACACCTAGAGACTTGAAAGATATCCCCTTTTCAGGGACAGGCCACTTAGTGTTATCAGTTCACTTTTGCCCATTGCTTCACCGGGAGGCTGGAGGGGCACCGACTTCCCCTCATTGGTTGTCTGGAGGCCAGCCTCGGGGCCCATATACCTGCCAAGGCTGAACAAGAGGCCATAATAGGTTTCCATCATCCAGAATGGCCTGGGGAATTGGCGTTCTCATTAATTTTTTTCAATTTGAAGTATGATGTATGTCACAATGCAAATGAAGCATGGCTTGTCAGTGAATTAGGATCTGGTAAAGCACGCCTCATTAAAACTGTATTGACACGCTTCAGAAGCCACTTGTGATTGATGGTCAGCTTCAGGGTTCTCGCTTTGCACTGAGTTGTGTAGGGGGCATTTAGGCTGGTTTTGTACTGGATCTTATGGCTAGTCCTAGAAGTTACTTCTTTGAATGTTTTTCTTTAAGCGCTGCTATTTTTCTTCTGTTTTCCTGGAGAATGACTCTTTTTTCCTTAACTGGATTTGGAAAATTCTCTTCTTCTTGTAAGAGTTGGTCCTTGCTGAGTGTACTGCTGTGGCTCCGAAGTTCACTTGCAGTTTTAGTTTCTTCCCAAAGCTGTAATTTCAGAAAACTCATAGTTACAGGTCTGTCTAAAAGCAATGTATCCGGGCCTTTGTTTCATGTAATCTGGGATCAGTCAGGTGTTTTCGAAGCCGCTAATGCACTGCTCGGTGTGCAAATTGCAGTCATTCCTCCCATGCTCACCTGCCTAAAATAATGAAGGGGAGGTGGTTGTTTTCAAGACAAGTCTCCAGTTTTAAGGCTGACAAGAATGTTGGGATTTGCCAGCATTCCCCATGAAGGGAATGGCCTCTTAGATGTTGGAGCCAGAGAGCTGTAGGCAAATGTGCCCGGTCTGCCAGTGGTCCGATTACAGAGTAGTATTAAAGAGAAATGTGGCGTATGCTTGGCAGCTAGGCCTCCGCAGCCCAATTTATCATGCCAGATCAGCTTGCTTTTCTTCTTTTCTCTTTCCAGCATTGGAGCTTTTGCTGCCTTGGGATTATAGTGCATACTCTGATTGGTGGGAAATGACCTTCTTTTGCAGATGGCCAAGACATCATTTTATTACATATTAATCCCATTGTACTAGAGTAAAGCCAGCCAAAATCCATTGTTAAGCTGTTTCAAAAATACCCACAGGTCCATGCTGGCCAAGAATCCTGTGATGTTAAGATGCTCCCTTGGCTTCCTAAACTTTGACCTTCTATGGCTTTGCTCTGCAAACTGGCAGCAATAGCTGGGGTGTATTTTGAGCCCTGAGCTGAGGAAGGAGTTTGTTTCTGCAAATTGGCACCCAGCGGGCCCTCCATCCTTTGCCTTTTTAAGAGCAAACCAAAAATAGCCCTAAATCTGTTTAACCAGGCAGAAAAGTCTCTGCTCGCACTGATCACTTTATTTTTTAATTCCTTTTCTTTTCTTTGCTATAGTCACCCAAAGGTCCAGCTCTTGAGTGTCCCCAAACTTAAACCAAGCAGGGGTAAGACATCAGAGCTGGGAAAAGCACCTAAGCCACCCGACCAGGCTTGTGGCCAGGCTTGTGTGCTGGAGGTGAAAGAAACATCCTGATGCTCTGACCAGGGAGGGAGTTAACAACTTGATCAGTTTTCATTTCTGCATATTCCTCTTTTAGCAGCTTGAGTTGCCCTCCAGAAATAGAAAGGGCCCACTTAGTGCAGGGCTTGCACTGGCAGCCTCAGCAGTACCTTTACTTTGAACAGCTCTAGGAAATTGCCCTCCTCTAGTCCGGGTAATGTGATGTCAGCAAAGGAGCAGGAAGCCTTGACAGATTAGAAGGCTGGAGTGCACGGGGTGCACTTAGGCTAGGGGCTCAGTGAGCAAGTGAGTGGAGACACAGCTTACGCTTCTAAAAACCTGCTCATCATGAATATGCTTATGGAGCCAAGCTCCCACTCATTGTGACTGGTAAAATTAAGGCTAGTATTATATTTAGTAGTTCATTAAGATTACTGATTGTCTGAGTTCTGTTAAGCATTGGTACTCAATTTCAGTCTCTTAATAGTTGAACCAATGAAATCTGGAAATTATTTTTCCCATCAGCTCTGTGCAATGTGGCATCAAACTCAGTTCTCTGTCCCTAGGTGAAGATGTGCTGGCCCTTGGGGGTCTGAAGGCCAGATGTGATGTG